CGTTGATTAAATGTGCACAGAGTTATTTCAGCGAGCAAACAAGACCAGCGAATCCTTGGAGGAACCTTAATGGTAGCTAAATCAAAGAGAGAGGGGGTTTTTTTTAGCTGAAAGACAAATAGAAATATGCATGATCAGATTTGAGCATTGCTCAAGTCCCTAGTTGGATGTATTCATCCTTATTGCGTTCTCTGAAAGAGCTCCCTTTAATGTCACCCAGCGAAGGGAAGTGATGAAATGGAGCAATTATGTATCCATTTGTGCTATTCAGGTGAAACCAGGTGTAAAATTTCCAATCTGTGCACCTGCTGTATCTTTAATTCATTGTGCTTTCTCACCAGTGTTGCCTGTTAGGTGGTAATATTTAAAATATGGACAAAATATTACATGCAATAAATCTATTTAGCATTATCATATTTCTTCCAGAGAAAAGGATTGTTTTTTTCTGTGTAAGATTACCCCAAAAATTGCAATAGCTAAGTGCCAAACACAAGCAAATCTTATAGGAGAAATATTACAGTTGTTTGTTGAGTTGAGCTGTAATAAGAGGAAGAACGCATAGCAATAAAACAAAATTGTCCCTCATCAAGAAGCAACACGCTTAATTTGATATCCAGACATTTAGGAATATGAGAAAGATAACAATAGAGCATTCTCGTCCTGAATGGGGAGAATTACGTTCTTTGGTGAAAACAGATAGTCAAGTCATATCCCGTTGGGCTGCAGATTAATTTTCATTTTCCAAAGAGTTTGTGCATATAAATATTCATGAACCACCTTGAAAAGCGATGGGCGACTTTATAAGGCGGTCAGTGGAGAAACCAACAACCCCCCCTCCCTTCCCTGCAGCTGTGCTGATGAGGGGGGGTTAGTTCATGATGAAAGACTCTCACTATCCACGACCTTTCCAGTCTAAAACAAAGATTTGCACAATTAACTACTTTTAAATGTCATCCAACTGCCAAATCTGCATATCAACGCCAAGCCTTGCATAGAAATGAGGATGTTTGTAGAGGAATCGTTTTTCTCCCCTTTCCCATCCCAATGCCACCAAATGGGGTTCTTTCTCATTTTAGCCAGGAAGAAAATGTAAATGTCAACATATCTTGTGCAGAGATCCTTCTGTTGGTAATTAACCTTTGCCGTTTAGAAGCTAGACTGAGCTCTGCCTAAACACCGCAATTAACTCCAGCTTTAAAGACAGAGAGACAACATCTACATGGAGCCATACAAGGGGGGAAGTTACAGTGACTTCATTATCCTTGCCGACACACTTACTCCACACACCTCACATTTTTGAGAGTACTCATTTGGTTGATATTTTCCCCAGGCGGCAGGAGTGAGCCTATTGGGAGGATGTCAAAATTCGGTGGATTAACAAATCTCATTTCTTTTTATCTCCATGAGGTTGGACAGGAAAGCTGGTTTAGTTGTAGCCCCTGGTGAGTGGTGGACCATTATAGGGAAATTCATACTCATAAATCTTCATACATCAAGCCGAGGACTGCCGGGATCTATCATGTTCAAGTTCAATTTCCAGATGCAGTGACTGGGAGGAAAACTCGTCCTCCTCTAACCAACTTCAACCGTCCAAAACAAGTATATGAGCCAATGTAATTCAAACACTCTCTTCTGGTGCTCTCTGTGGGTCTCGTCTGGCCCTGAACTGTACAGGGTCCTCTGGAGTCATGAATAGCAACACTGAGCTTGCTCCTGAAGCTCAAAGGCAGTGTCAGTTACAAAGTCAATCCATTAACATCTTCACTATTCAGCACGACGCTCTTTCCCAACTGCAGAATCAACACAAGTCAATAGGCAGGCAGAATACCACAGGTAGCAAGGCAAAATACCTCCTTGCTCCCCTGGGAGGTGGTGAGAAAAGTATATGATGATGGACATGGAAATATTTTCCTTTTATATGTTGATAAATACTGAAACTCTTGGAGCACTCAGGCCAGATGCAGACAAATGATTGACATAATTTCCAAAAGAAAGGAAGAATCTGGGTTTGGGGAGGGCAGGGGTGAAGCAGAGGGAATGCTGGGAGGTGCCAGAGTAAAGTTGATTCAGTATAGGATGAATAGGATAAAGGGAAGCTTTAGTAGAGCAGACCCTCCACAGTCAGTCAGTGGGAGCCAGACAGAAAGAGAAGAACACTCTTTAACCACAAGAAAGGTAACTGAGGCAAAGATGAACAATCAAGGTTAAGGCAAAATACTTAAAGACAAGACATGACTTGTTCAAGGAGGCTAGAGGATTAATCTTGCTGGGCACTGCACAGTGTCTTCAGTATAAAATAGAGTGATGTTCACAAACTGGTGATAGGGGCTGCACTGCATCAGATGGCTACTACAGCAGATACGATCAAGTATACCTTATCGAGGGAGCCACCATCAACAAGTTACTGCATGTAGTGTTTGCTCACAAGCGTCCACATCTTGTTCTTATGCATTATAAACACAAAGGCTCTGACATCACATCAATGCTTAAGGAGGGTAGACTGCCATGTTTCTAAAACACAGCCTTCGTCATGACTAGATGCTCTGTTTCAATTCTTGTGAGGAAGTTCAAAGGAGCTCCTACCTTTTCAGTCGAGGACATCCGTCAATGTCAGCTATGATTAGGTCTTGAAAAATACTAATTTCTTGGGAAGACTAGACTAACGTCCTTGCAAGTCCAACATGACAAATGTCCTGTATGGTCAGCGTCAGTTCTTATCAGTGCCTCATTAAAAATGTAATGACCACATGAATATTTACCAAGTTTAATTACTGCTCTCTGTTGCTATTCTGCTGTGCCCTGCACACTCTTTTCCTTTCCAGAGGGCAGTCTCCCTTCCAAATGCCTCCTTCCACCTTGATGAATATTGCAGAAGTCCGAGGAGTGTAAGCCATTGATGGAATCCAGCTCAATCAGCAGGAGAATCGATGGCATACACTCACATTTGCAAAGGCGCTAATTGGTGGCAGTAAAATTCAGCAAGCTGCATAATTTACCCAAGAGAGACATGGAACGGGAGTGCAGGGAGATCAGCTCATTTGTAGCAGAGGTATTAAAAACCCTGTCATTCTGAAATCAGACGGCCTTCTACAGAAGCAGAGCCAAAGGCCAAATTATTAATGTCTCTTCAAGCTATTGAATGTAGGGTTTTCTTGCTGTTGAGGTAAAGCTCTTCACTGAAGGACCGTCACTGGCAACACCTGACCCATTTCTCTCTACCTACCTTTGTTATGCTGACATAGAGTAGTACTAGCTGAATAGCCTGGTACATGAGAAAATAAAATCTAGACTATTTGTCTCCTATCTGTCTTAGACAGGTGATGAAATGGCATAGAGAGCAAAACCTCAACTCCCCTCCCAACAATAACTGCACTTTCTCAGCCTGTTTATCTGATAAGAGGGTGCAGAGGAAGTGAGATCAGAAGGGAGCGAAGAATAAGAGGGAGTTAGTGTGTGGTTGTTACCACAGGCAGCCATGTAGGTCTCTAAGGAAATGACCCTCTGAGTCCATCACAGATCTCAGGTCATATTTACTTTGTATAGGGAGAAGCGGAAAACAAGTTCAACAGTCTTCAAGAGCAGTAGGACTTTGGTGCACACAGCTACAGATGAAACCCTTAATTAAATGTTGACAAATTAATAGTTACAGCAATAAATGCTCCATTGCATGATGGTGGCCTAGTGATAAAGACACATGGAACATAATGGCAACATCTGTAGTATAATTCTTGCTGGGGAATTTTGTTTTATGTCAACCTCCTTTCTTTCTCCCCATGTTTCCGGCCTGTATCTACCCTGTTACTAAATAAAGGCAAATACTAAAAATAATTCTAAAAATACCATAAGTTAAAAGTTCCAATTTCCATTCTTCTGTGTAAACAAGACTTTTTTTAATGACAACGGGTCTTTCTAAGTAATACACAACATTTCAAATGTTGTTTTGTATTTACAATCTGCTTGGTTTCCAGCAGCTGTAATATTATTATCCCTCTGTTGTGTGCAAGTGTTGTTCAGTTACAGGGGTTAGACACAATATAACAAACACCTGTGAAATATATTGCAATTGAACAGAATAGCACATTCTTGCAACAAATACTAACTTGTGAAGCTTATAATATAAGACTTTTAAAGAGGTACTGGGAAAAATTCAACAGAAACTTTTTTTAATATAACACAATCTGGAACAAAATCACAAATTACCGCCCTACAACACACCACAATATTGAAACAATACATTTCTGAAACAGTCCGAGTACGATTAGAAGACACTCCTTTAGGTGTGACTCAAGTGAATTGCACCTCGAGTTGACACAAATTGTGTTGACAACCCAGAGAATCTATCTGGGAAGAACCAACCTTCGCATCCTGTTTGATGCTATCTCTTGCGTTTGATCGGCAGACATGAAACAACACAACCACATTGAACAGTAAAATGGGCTCTTGAAAGGGACAATATTGTCAAAGACTTGGGGACATATTGAGTGACAGATTTTAGCTCTTTGAGGCCTTTGCTCTCTTGCTGGGCAGCAAGCTGATGTCTCCTCACTTCGTCTCAGATGTGAAGCTCCTGTGATTGTGACAATATGCAAGTAGACTGTTGTGTCATGGTGTTAAATATAAAAGACATTATCAATGCATGGACATCTGTGGAAAAGATCTTTATTTCTAACAATACAGAGGCTTTGGTATGCCATATTTGTGCATTCCATGGCCTTTGGTTGTGATGGAAAACATGCTGGTGTCCTTATTTGCATTTTACCTGAGAACACAGATGCAATCAGTGTTAAATTGAAATTCCACCATATCTAGCATTATAGTCATTGTGGTCTTCGTGTTGAAATATACTTGATGTAATAAAAAGTCTGGAAAACCCTGCAAGAAAAACAGTTTTAAGCAGTCCACAGATGATGTAAAATGAGTGGAAAAGTATTCCACTGTCATTCTGAATATTCTTCTCCTGCCTCAATTCCACCCATACAAAAGGAAAAGAGAAAAAAAGCTTGAAGTAGTAGTGTTTTATTCATCTTTATGTAAATCCAGTCATTTACGGTTGCCTTAACAAATCAGGAATCAAGTGTGTCAACATCTAGCAGAGGAGAAAGTGCGTATGGGGATTACAAAAGAACAGAAACAGAACAAAAACAGGTGGAGGGAGAAACTCTCCATCGATTAAAGTCTACAAATCCTGACAAGGGTAGAATGAACATGTTTTTAATTGTCTGAAATCTCTGTATACTGTAGAAAGTTTACAGTTCTACTTGAACCCTAAGCTCAGTGAGCTATTGTTCATTTCTGAGTGACAGTGTGTGGAGGCTGACCCCAGAGCTGGTTCACACCATAGAAAAATACCCTGGTTATTTGCATTTTTAATTGTACACTACTGAGTTTCTATAGAATAAATGAAAATGATAAACTCTTACCTACCAACTTCTACTGGCCTCAGTTATAGGCCCAGGCCCAGGCCCAAGTTTTTTCATTACATCCTACACCACTAAGAAAGATAAATCCCTCATTGCATTGCTACATAGATAATGTTACAAGTATATGCTCAAAACCATATTAGGCTAAGTAAATCCCACACAGTATTTTATTTATACGTATATATATATATATATCAGTTCAAATAATGGGAATATGGTATCAGATAAACTCAGAGCAGATAAACATTTATTTAGTAAATTCTGGGTCGATTTCAGGTTGCTAATTGGATGGCAATTACCTACTAACCACTTAAGGCAACGTTTCCTCTTACCTGTCATCATGGTGGTTGTGGTTAATATATTCTGATAACATGACCCAGGGTTTTTATGTAAAGGCAACTTCTATTTCAAGCACTGTTTGATTTCATTCTTTACTGAATCAAGGTGATGCTCAGTCAACCCTGAATCTATACATGACATCAAAAGCAGCATTGTTCCCCAGTCATACAGAGGTGAATATCAACGTCAGATCATCTGTAGACTATATCTTTTTAGCTGAAAAAATAAGGTGAGCATCTCAATGTAAACATGCAGTTTTTGAGAAGTAATCAATGCTGTTTTTCCTGCAATGCATTTGTCATAGGTTTGACTGATTATGGCCTTAATCTGTACCATGATGATGTGCATAATAAGTCACAGTAAAGAGCTCTGTCCTTCAAATGGAGCCTTGTCAACAATCTCAATATGTATGAGTCCACAAACGCCTGTAACACTGTACTAAACATCCAAGAAAGGAAGAATCTTCTAATTTGACAAAATAAACATCACAGAATTCTCGAAATGTCTCAAGAGAGCTCTGAAGCCCTGGCAGTTCAGTTGTCTTCCGGACTGAAGTGGGATGTCATCTCCTGATCTCCAAACCTCTGCTCTGTCTTGTGCGATCTCGCTGCAGCAATTGAGTTCAGTTTGAAGAAAGTAAACACTGCAGAGGCCTGACATGGGGCGCAGTGCTCAAGAACATCGGTTCCAGTTGGGGCAACAAACCCTTTCGAATCGAATCTCATTAAAAATACTTCTGGTCCGACCTTGATTTAGTTATGCGATAGTTTGGATCTTTTTCATGTGTTCAAGACCAGCCCGCACCCTTCCTCATGAATCTTTACCTTCACTCCATCCAAGGTGAGGTGCAGGACTTAAAATGTATGACGCTTAATACCCTATCACCTATTGAGTAACACTCACTTTAAGTAGATATCAAATAACACAAAGCACACTGCTTTGCACCAAAACAAACTAGTCACTCAAGGTTCTGGTCAAAGAAAGTACCCTAATTTTTTGCATCTAATCTCACTTACAGCTGATGATAATGACAATTCAGTCATGTTGTTGACTATAACCTGTGAGTGGTAAAGTTCTGTGGGTGCATGAAGTCTCACTTAATTATAAAATACAAGGAGGCCCATATTAAATTATTAAAATGGGAGATTTAATTCAAATGAAACAGTTGATGGACTGGACCTTTGTCTGTGAGTGTGTAGCTACATGTTCACATGCATGTTTGAACAGTGGATGAGAAGCAAACATGACTGAGCTGCAAATATTGTGTATTTGTGTCTGTACACAAAAGGGCCTCTGTGTAGTTATGTGTTTATGTACGTGCGTGTGTCTGTGTCTGTGTGATCCAGCAGTAGCTACGAAGTGTTTGATGTGTTGGGGCTCCAGCCCATTTGATAAGCTCTCTCCAGGGTTCTCTTGCAGTCCTGCATCACCGTGCTGAAAACAATGTGAGGGTACTGGACGACCAGTCGCTCCACCGTCTCCTCGTTCACCTGAAACGCAAACACAAAGATGCACACTATTAACATAAATGCAGAATACACACACACACACACACACAGATCATATAATGATGTTACTATGAGATTTACCTCAATGACAATATATTTTACAGTGATTTTTGTCCAGAGCTTCTGACCACATCACATGGTCTGTAGATGTTCACATTTTGCATTATTCAAAGCATGTGTAGGACTTCTCACCAATGTTGGCTTAAAAGAATAGTGTTATAAAAGATATAAATAATTTATAAATATAAATATTTACACTTCCATGACGACTAAGAACGTGTGATATAATGTGTGAATTAGTGTATATATTTGTTTGCTCATGTTTGCTCACTTCTGACATGTTTGTCCTGTTTGATTACAGTACGACCAGTTTAAGGATAGGATCACTATTTTTCAGGTTGGTCTTAAAGCAATAGTCTGGTGCCCATATGTGTACATTGAAACAGCTTCTGTCCTTTCCCTGTGCAAAAATATGTGTTCACAGGCTTCAACAGTCTGAGTAAATCACATCAAATGGGTATCTAATTAAGTTACTATCATTTAAGTGCAGAAGTCCTTCTGGGAATTTCATAGTTTTCATAGTTCTAACTTTTGGTTAGATGTTATTCGTTGTTATAGCTAGTGCTACTTTATAGGCATTTAAACAGGTGAAAGATTCATAAAGTTGGTAATTTGATAAATGAGGTCCATTGTCCAGCCCTATGTTCACACACTGAGTCAACCAATGAAGCACTTTATTTCAAAATCATTCACTCAAAAAAGAATTCCAGGGAGTCCTCCTGGGTAGATACATTAAAAAGAGGCACTCAGCCTAAAATCATATAAATGTAACAGGAATATTGCTTTAGGTCTAATAAATACAGATTTTTAAATTACTTAATTTAAATGGCGCAATTTAAAATCTGAAACTGTCTCTGCATCGCCCCATGATGCCTTATTAATATAATCAGAAGCACAGATTGAACTGTTAGTGCCCTGTCAAAAGAGCAGTGTACTAGACTAATATGAAGGATAGCCGGTTTCTTAAGACCATACTATGTATGCACGTATGCACACATACACACACACACACACACACAATTGGACTATAGCAGTGGGTTTAGCACCAAAGGACAGCTGAGCTCACCAGGCTAATGAGGCCTTCATGTTCTCAGAGGACTAGAAAGACAAGCAGCTAATAGCCACTCCCGCACTTCTTTGCCAGTCTAACACTCGGTCGGGCCATCACTGAGAGCCAAGAGTGAGAAACCCTGAGAATCTGACAAAGAGCAGAGGCAGAGTAACCCTGGAGACCTCGAGGGGTTAACCGCAACCCACCCAGAACCAACCCCCGCCCACCCGCGAGCATGACACTTTCCAGGGGAAATGATGTATAAACACTCACACACATGTTGAGCACACAGTCATTCGTTGTTGCCAAAGCAGTGACAAAGTGCTTCACAGTTTTCCCCGAGCTCACTGCCCGAGAGTCCTTTGGTTTCTGTGTTTTCTGGAAGAAAAGTCTTGCATGGTAAGAGTTCCCTGGCTCTTGCTTAGGTTATGATCTGTTTTGGTTGTCATTTTCTATCTAATTTCTTTTTTCTATTCATTGAACATAATTTCTTTTAGTGGTGGGTATCCACAGCTCCGTGTCAAGTAGAGAAATTGAAAAAACAAATGGACAGACAGATGGACAAAAAAAAGACAGAGTCAGGATAAAACCAGGAAAAAATCAGAGAGAAAAATAAGTATGCTTGAGTGAACAGACCACCGATGCCTCTCAGGTCACAGAAGGAAGATGGAAACTCTGCACAGCACAAGTGAATTCAATAAGACTAAAAGGCAACAACAGCCTGTTAGCTTTCCCTTTGATTGCCAAGGAAGAAACAGCAAGCTGGAGTTCGGGTTCTTGACGCCAACACAAAGAGGCTTAACAGACTCTTTCAGGATACCGTCGATACAGGAAATATAAAATAAAATCAAGACCACAGGGTCAAAAAGTCTTTCTTACTTTCATCTGCTTTTTGTTTTTATGATCAGACGCTAAGAGAAAGTGCCAAAAAACAGTCCTGCCTCAGTTCTCTCCCCAGTCACTGTTGAAGAGAAAGACAACGGAGACTGGCAGAAAGCTTTTAAATTTCAAGTAATACTCAACCCCTGGAAAGGTGCATTCAAATCGGCAGGTAAGAATTGAAATGAGAAAATTCCAGCAACACTTTCAGTGCTGTGATCAATGATTCATTAGTAAAGCCAATGCATTAATAAAACTGTGTTTCAGGATAGTGCCATAAAGAATTCAGATTACTATTATTGTGAGATAATGTGAGTATGCCTCCCTTGTACTGAAAAGTTCAAACTCAGCAAGTGAAGCAGTAATGCTGACCATACGGGGAACACATTTGGGTTGGAGACCTTTTAGGTATGTTATCCTTATTACGTTTACTCACAAAGGGGATATAACGTAATGTAAGTGTATAATAATAAGTATACAATGAGAGCTTCCAGTGAAGAGATGAAAAAAACATCCTATCTGTGGGCACCGATGAGGAGGCTGCAACCTTCCTCAAATGAATACATAAAACAAACATAAATTAAATATTTCCATCACATTTTCCACATCGGTTTTCGCTCACTTGAGGTGGTTGTCTATTAATTACGTTATCTTGTTACACCCTCCTCTGCCTGGTTTAATGGTACCCGACTGGAGAGTAAGCCCCATCAACTATTAATCTTGATGCTACCCATTCCTAATATTCGCATATTAGAAGTGGATGGAAATCCAGATTCATTTGCATTTTCTTTGGTCGATTTCCTGAATATTCTGTTAAAATGAGAGATTTCGACAAGCTGCTGTAACTTGTAACAAATGGACATTTTTGTTTCCTGTCATGTGGCTTCAATCTTCTGCTTCTATATGATTTAGTGTTATTTTTTTTATAGTTCATGCATATGAGTTTGTCATATTCAACCTTATATAAACTGTTAACCTAGTCCTAGCAAAGGCAGTCAATGAGTCAATTTTAATAATAAATAATGGCAAGCAAGGATTAGCATTTCCCTTTTGGGATTTGACCCGGGTGTCTGACCACACGGACTCCTGAATTGAGAGCTTTTCATTCGCTGTCTGGTCTGTCAACTCTTGGATGCTTTTCAAAAAAATTTAGAAACTGACTCCACATAGCGATCATTAGCTTTTATGTGATGTTGGATCATCCTCCCACCTGGTTTTTCTCATTCTGAAATTATTTTTGGGGACAGTTTAATGCCTTTATTACGAAGCGGTGGTGGAGAGATGACAGGAATCGAGGGAGAGAGAGATGCAACAACAGGTACCTTGGCAGATCTGAACCGGAGATGTTGCTGTTCATGTTCATCGTCTTAAGCCCTAAGCCACAGGAGGCGACCCAAACCCATTTTTTTTTTCAATATAAACACCTGTTGTTTGCCTACAAAGATGGCAGCATGTTGCTTTCACTGAAGACCAAAGCAGGAGCAGAAGAGCAGCTTAACTGAGGCATCCAAACGCTGCTGCTACAGAGAGAAGTTAAGTTTGTTATGACATATGGCTGGGCCTCATTAGCAGATAAAATGACAAACCCCTGATTGCCTTCATAACATATTATGCTATATTCTTGAAAAGAGAATGAAACATCCCCCAGCTCGTTAATCAGGGCTTAATTACAATTAAAACAGATCTAAAGAATAGACCTGTCAAACTGATGGGAGGCCATAACATTCATTAATGTTAATTTAGTGCAGCTCCACTTGCTGAGCAAACACGGCAGACACAAAATGCCCCACAATCAAAACACTGAATCATTTCCTAATTGCTAGTTGCGGCAACACTAAACGTTTGAGTTGCAACAAGATCACTTTGATGGAAATCATGAAAAGAATAACTATTGCACTGACCTCTGCTGCTCTTGTTGATAAAACTGTATGTGTAGAAAAAACAAACTTTAAAAAATGTGTCTTTTTATATTTTTTCTTAAGTTTTGAAAAGTAATTACTGTCAGATACAGCAGAAATTATTGGGTTTTGCCTCTGCAATAATAAGATGTTTGAATTCCAATCAAGATTGATGGAAAAAAAAAGATTTTACTATCAATCAAATCTAAGCCTGTAGCACAGAAACTTATATTTTAATTAATTGGCATTTTGGAATGACAAATGCCTTCATTCATTGTTAAAACAACGCCTTGGCTGTGGATACAAAATCCTGTTGACAGAAAATCAGTTGACAGAGGCATTTATACATCATAGCTCCCATTAACTCTCCGCCACTGCACAAAATGACAGCCAGAGTCTTTTCAGGCCTAAAAACAACAGCCTTCTATAAAAGAAACTCTCTCCTTGCAAGTTCCCAGAGCTCAGAGCTACAATCCTTTTTCCAGAGTAAGACTGTGTGCCCTTTGCGTGGCTCTGTGGTATGTTGAATGAGATGTGATGACATCACCACACCTGCTTGGTATTTGTGGCTCAGAGCTGATGTTAGACATGAAGGTCAGACCAAATGCTGTGGGTAACTGGTTGGCACAGAAGGGAGTCCTCTGGTTACAACAGTTGTGCCACCGACTTCTTCAAACCAATGATTCAGCTGTTTGTTTCTAGAGTGAAATTTTGTTACTGGGCAAAACCGTGCTTAACGATATTGTGTTGCTAGGCAACATAAGCTTAAAATGATATCAGGAGGCACTGAGGCCTCTGGTGACTGAATGGTGCTTTGGATATATGGCTCTGGCAGGGAGTTTTTTTTTTCTTCTTTTACCCCATACAGTCCTGATCCAGTGTACTGTACTGTACAACCCCTCCTCCACCCCTGCTGCCAAGTCTGTAGGAGAGCCATATGATAGAGCAGATCGCTACTCACTGATGATTCTAATCTTTGAGAAGCATCTGGGAGCGCAGCCACAGTTATCTGGAGCAAGGCCTATACTTATGATATTTTCCCCCATTTTAACTTCAAAGATGCTGCCCTGTAGATCTAAGTGCGGTGTAATGCA